TATAATGTAGGATTTAGAGGAGGATATAGCATTAGTGGAGTCCATTTTGTCTAGTTGAAATCTTTACGAAATTGCTGCTTGAATATAACTTTTTAAATAGTTTTGCGGTATAAAGTTTGAAACATTATGAAATTTAGAAGTTTAATAACAAAGGAGTTACTTTAGAGGCAATAGATTTCAAGTTTCAGTTTTTAAGTAGAAAATAACAATTATAAGTCTCTTTCAAATACTCAACTTTAGCTTTTGTAGCAAAAGGTCTTTTTAGAAGATTGGTCAAATAAATACTTTATATGAAATTCATAAGACTTATATGTAATGAATAAAGTGAGAATTTGATAAAATTTTATTACTTTTGAAAGACTCTATGGTATACGATTTTTACAAAAAGGTTTAAGGTTAGAGCTTTAACTTCTAATCATTATCTTTAGTATAAGTTTAGAATCTCTTATGAGGTAAAAATGTACTTGACCCAGCTTTAACTTTTATAATAAATAAGTTGTTTTAGTAGAGATGTTGAACGAGTAATTATTGATTTTCTAACAGAGTCACTTGATTTTGCAATTCAATGTCATATTTCTGTTATAGAGAAACATTGGAATATAGAGAAACATTGGAAGCATACTCCATGAAAATAAAAAATCTGGCTCTTTTGATCCTAGTTCAGATGGGAAGAGCTTTAAAGATGGATGCTAAGGAAATGAGAGAGTTGTTCACTAATGGGGTTCAATCAATGAGAATGAACTACTATCCTCCATGCCCTGAACCCGAAAATGGCCATCGGTTTCACACCTCATTCAAAGGTAGATGCCTTGACGATTCTCTTCCAGCTTAACCAAACAGAGGGCTTGCAAATTCTAAAGGACGGAAGATGGGTTCCAATTAAGCCGCTACCAAATGCTTTTGTAGTCAACATTGGAGACATAATGGAGGTAGTACTATATTACTTGCCTTTGTCTCTTCCGAAGGAAGTTAAAGATTTGTACTCAATATTCTTGTTTACTCTGTAGATTGTGAGCAATGGGATATATCGTAGTATCGAGCATTGGGCAATAGTAAACTCAACTAGGGAGGGGCTATCTGTTGCAACATTCTATAGCTCACAGCTAGACACAGAATTAGGTCCTTCACCTAGCCTTATTGACGCTGATAATTAACCCAGCAATCTTCGGCAGGTCCTTGTGGACTGTGGAGAAGTACTTCAAGGAATTTTTTGCTAGGAAACGAAATGGCAAGTCTTATATTGATTTCATGAGAATAGAAGGTGGGCAACAAATGTAAACTTGAATCCAGAGTTCAAAAAGCTTGCATCGATGGGGTTATCAAGTATTTCGATGCAAGCATTTGTGTCGAACTCCCAAGTTTGCTCCTTGTTAAGATAGATTCACCTTTTAGAAAAAGGAAGGGATTAGTTGTTTTTTTAAATAAGTGATTAAGATAAATGATCTTAAATTTAATTATTGATATTATTACATGTTAGGAATTTATTTGCTCTTTAAATTTGTTTTTAATTAAAAATTAACGTGTAATGACGTTAACGGTTAATAATGAGTTATTTATTTTAATTAAAGATTTTTAAAGATAATTTATATCTTTTCTTTTAGGGATAGGTTTGTTCCTATCCTATATATGAAAAATAAATTGGAGGGTTTGGCTACCAAAATGTCTTTACTTCATTGCAAGCATTTGTTACGATCCTGTTTCTCAAAATTTGCAAAACCGATTGTTCGAGCTTCTACCACTTTAAGTTTCATTTGAAATTGATGTGTCATTATTGTGTCTTAGTTTTTTAATATTAAAAAATATATTTAATATTTACTTTAATTAAATTATATATATTTTTAATAAATAGAAAAACCTATAGTCACGTTACCACACAACATTCTCAAACAAAACTTTAATCTTAAAATGTGTTTTCTTTCAATCATTTTTTTTTTTTGCACGGTAAAAGTGAACTTTATTTACTAGAGTGCGAGGGGTACT